TCATCAAAACAAAACTGCGGATACCTTACAGAGGAGGACATACTCTCCCTCATTAGACAAAATTCACCGCAAGATGCACAAGAAGTGCTCAGTGCTACATTCGAAGAACCAATTGAAATTCTCGAATACTTTAGAAAATGGTAAATTTGATAAGAACCCGGAAAACTGTACATGCCTGGCAAGGTGATGTATGGAACAACACCAAACCAGAATAAGGACTATCCAATAAACCAGTTCCTTCATATCCTGTCCCAGCATCATCGAACTGAAAAGGAAAAAAAGGTAACCCACGTATTCAGAATATTCCAGGACAATGGATATTCAGGAACCTTCATCCAGCGTAGATTGAAAAAGAAGGTACCTCAAAATAAGCAACAAGAAGAACATACAGCAGGCTTAACATTATCCAATAAACCAGTTCCTTCATATCCTGTCCCAGCATCATCGAACTGAAAAGGAAAAAAAGGTAACCCACGTATTCAGAATATTCCAGGACAATGGATATTCAGGAACCTTCATCCAGCGTAGATTGAAAAAGAAGGTACCTCAAAATAAAATAAGCAACGAACATACAGCAGGCTTAACATCATTGTCGTACAACCACAAAGTTTACGAAATGATATCAAAAGCATTATAATGAAAAGAAGAGAAAAGGGTGTGTGAAGGAGGAGATCTGATGCTGGTCTACCACAAGCAATTTAAATTACCGACAATTTTAAACGCTCAGTCAGGAAATCTGGGAATAAACGGGCATTACAATCTCCAATGGTACCAGTCAGCCGCTATTTCTTGCAGTCTCCAGCTAGGCGCAGAGAGGTCACTGAGATCCTTTTCTGGAACGCCAGAAACACCTAAACTCCTCGTTGTATCTTTCCTACCCTTCTGTCAAATCATACGTTGCCCACCTTGCGGGTTGCGGCATTCTGACGTTGGCACAATGAACAACAATCATTTCCGTAGACGTTGCTTTGCAGTGCGTAGCACATGGACGGTTCATCGCAGTATACACTCGAGATTTCAACCAATAACAAAGTTGCTGAAAACTTTTCGATAGCACACAACCTGTTTCGGGCTCCTTGGAGCTCAGCAGTTAGATGCAATCCTCAAGTTTCTGTTGGTATTATGTTCTAATTGAACCTTGAATATCGCACAAACTGAAACGTGAGGTGGCCCATATGCACCACATTCAGTTAAAGCGTACTATCAGAAAGGAGTGATTCGGCTGGTTTCAGTTGGGTTTCTAATCAAAGCTAAATTTGTCAAAAGCTTTTTCTTTGTTCACTCAACGTATCTTACGTCTATGAGAGTAAACACAATAAGAGACCCCTTTGTCTGACTCACAACAAGCTGTGAGTTTTGTTTGGCACCGGTTGAGTATTTGAAACAGTGTAATTCTGATTGACAGACATGGTGTGGTCATGGTTGAAACTCTCCTAGGCGTAGTTGAATTCGGTTTTGAGATGTATCTTCACGGACAAGCGCCCAAGAAATTCTGAACCACCTACGCTGTGTTAACAGAAGGTGGGTTATAAACAACTAGTTTTTGGTCATAAGCACACTGATGAGTGATTTGGAATCGACATAATGAGACACCGCTACCTCTGTTATATCCAGTACAACTAAAATGATCAAAAGCTCGGTAAGCTTGAAGACATACTGGGGTCTTGGAATTCAGCTTCTTCAACATCACTCAACAATCCATGCAATCTGGACTTAGTCATCTCAGTCCCCCGTGAAGATGGTCCTTCACAACCCACCTATAATGGCTATCACGATTATAACTAAAATGGAAAACTGAAATGCCCCCCAAGAAGGCAGGATGCTTTCGGAACAATTCAATCCTGACCGACCAGTATCGAATCTTAAGCTCTTCAATGATTTACACGACCTTGGAGACTGGATCTATCTCAAGAGAGTTGAAACACAAGTACTCAAGAGGAAACGACGGAAACTACTGAGAAATCAGCCTTCTTTGCACTACAGAGAAAATCTTGAGAAGCGTCTTAGTAAACCACCCGAACACGGTTATTCGGGAGAGATGTACCCCCCGACGCGAAAAGTGGTTTTCGAAACAGGCGTCGAATGACCGACCTTATTTCTGCAGTGCGCCATCTGCAAGAGATATGTCGGGAACGGAACCAATTGTTACACACTGAGTTCGTAAACTACACGAAATCCTTTGCTTCGGTGAAAGGAGGGAAACCACTGCTCATCCTCCGAATGTTACACTGTTCCGATCCATTCATTAAGGTATGTAAGTCCGGTTTGTAACAGTGGACCAACCTCTACAGAATTCCAGATTAGTGGTGCGTCCCAGGAACGCATTCTGGTTTCACTTTTTTTCATTTGTACCTTGATGCGATTTGAGCAAAAATGGCTCCAGATTCTGAAGATAGCTCATCAATCTATTACCCACTCGATGGTGATATCTTCAGCTCGAAATGTTTCATGAATAGAGTCAAACATACATAAGATTTTCCTCACGAGCGACTGCTCATCATGTGAATATCTGAAGGCAGATTTGCAGTCAATAACCATAGTGTTGTCGCCACAGCATCCGTTTCCAGTCTAACTGTAAGTGCTTCTAAAACTAACTTGTCTTTCGTCATGCCACACGGAGGATCCAACAACAAAAACCAAGCCAGAATTATTGCCCCGTCTAATCATCCCATGAAAATTACCACTACACAGGCGGTGCCATGTCTACAGACTTGAAAATATATCTACTACAGTTGACAAAGTTACATGTAGAAGGCGTCTTGCGTGATAGTGCAACCACCACTCGCCGGATAGTGGGAGCATGACCATTCGAGTTAACTTTTCGGTGAATGTAATGGTCATACTGAGTAATCACGAGTGAGCAGACAACCCATTGCATTCATCACTGTCTCCCGTTTAGTCGCTGCTTACGCCCACCACATTGGAATGCGGGGGTCATGCCTGTATTGCGCAGGTATCACCTGGATGTGATGCGGCTTTTCCAGGGGACCGATACATCGACGCATGCTACACTGGCTCCGAACAGGAGGGCTTGAATGCCACATTGTCGACAAGGTTTTCATGCGCGTTTAGATTGGACCACAAATACTGAAAGGCGACGGTAAATTGAGGGAATGGAGACTTTACCCTCGGATTAGTGACAACTGGGCCAGTACTAAGGCGCCATATATCAGAGGAGAGTGAGTAGGCAAATAAGTTATTGTAAAAGGAAAGTTACAAAAAAGTTATTCCTTTGGTTACAAGTTGATTCTCGATTGGATGTATACAATCTTTACACGAATGCTGGTGGTTAGCAGTTGATCACCAGTCAAACGGGGATCGAAATTCAAGGGGATTGTACAATTCTGTCGGAACTGTTTTTCCCTTCTCCATTCTCCTTTTCCCGGAAATATTTTGCAGCTAAAATTTAAAGAAAGGAAGGCAAGTTTAAGATATATGTATTTGCCAGCTATTCCAATAATCTGGGAGAAGAAATACGAGTTGTACTAGTATGACAGTGCGAACCCGTAATCTCAATATTTTTCAAATAGTTTGCGAAATGCGCATTCAGTAGCCCGGGCTCAACAAGAGCGCTGTCTCAACTACCTAATACATATGTTTTCTATGCAACATTCATCGTACTGCTTTCATTCGTGTGCGCAAGGTTGTCTTCCCAGCAAGTCCTTCAATACTGCATCCTAGAAGTGAGCTTCTCCAGTCATCAAACTTGAAACCTCATGCTTGTTGACTGAAGCCATTTCTGTAAATTGGTATGACTGCGTAGTTTGCGTCTTGTTCACAGAAGCCCTTGGCTGATGTGTGCTGACCACAAAGGTAAAAGCACATGTGCATTCTGCGGAATAAGTTTCTTAGCACGTGAAACAGCGGATTCCTAGTGGCCACCCTTATTATATCATCGATACAGTTTCTATCTCCGGCATCGAGCATTCTACCAATCAGAAAAAATTTTGTACGTCGTCGGGCTGTATGGGATACAGAAGCCCAAGAATTCTAAAGTTCGAAAAGCAATCACGATTTGTTTCATTCACTATGTAATCAACGTTACACCATTGACAGTCCGCTTTTTGCAAACAGATCAGTAGTTGTGGTGAACGTAATTTTTGGGAACGCAGTTTACCGCCTTTTGCTTATCAGCTAATCTTAGCCCGTCACATAAGCAGACCGAGTTCACGCTGAAGAATAGCAACGTCAGAGACTTGGTAGGAACTGGTTTGACGAGAAAGTCACTTGAGTGGCTGCTTAAGCGTCTTTCTCAGTTGACAATGACTAAATGAGTCCTGTGCATATTAGCCGGTATATATCCAATCGAGAATCAACTTGTAACCAAAGAAATAACTTTTTTGTAACTTTCCTTTTACAATAACTTATTTGCCTACTCACTCACCTCTGATACATGGCGCATTAGTACTGGCCCAACTGTCACTAATCCGATGGTAAAGTCTCCGTTTGCTAAAACCTAACTCAAGTTACTGTCGACTTTCAGTACTTGTGGTCCCGTCTAGACGCTCACCAAAACATTATCGACAATGTGACATGCAAGCCCCCCTGTTCGGAGCCAGTGTAGCATGCGTCGATGTATCGGTCCCCTGGAAAAGCCGCACCACATCCAGGTGACACCTACGTACTGCAGACCCTGACAACACCGAGGAAGGCAGGTGTGTGACCCCCGCATGCCACTGCGGTGGATGGAAGCAGCGTCTAAACGGAAGACAATGATGGGCGCATTGGGTTGTGTGCTCACTCGTGACCACTCAGTATGACCATCGCGTTCACCGAAAAGTTAACTAACCACTATCCAGATAGTGGTGATTACACTACCGCGCAAGACGCCTTCCATATGCAACTTTGTTTAGTGCAGCTGTACTGTTTATTCGGTTGGTTGCCTTCAGTTTCAAGGTAGTTGAACAGTTGTCCATTAGGAAATGGACTTGATGTCGCCTTTTGATACATCTGTACGAACCGGGTCCGGTTCTTATTCATCCGAAATTAACACATCTTACCTAATCATCCACATTATCTTCGTTTAGCATGCCATTCAGAAAAGCCGTCGGGTCTTGTCCTTGTCGCAAAATCTTCTTTAACTTGGACCGTTTGTTTTGAAACCATATTTTCACCTGTCGTGTGTGAAAGTAGGTGGGAAGTGTTTAGGAAAAACGTCATGGTTCAAGGTAAACTAAATACTTTGATTAATAGAACTTTCACGATTCGACTTCAAACTTCCTTTTTTAAGGCTTCGTAATCAATCAGGTGGTCTTTTCACCGATCTTCGCAATCACTTTGCAGAGTTTTTGTCACCAATCGAGCTGGCGTCATCAGTGCTCGGTTGGTTAGGCTCTGCAATCAAAGTTTGAAGTTTCCCTTATCTCAGTGCACATTCAGAAAAATCTTTGCTCGGTCACTAACATCATATTACAGCTGTGGTGAATACAAGAATGTGTTTCCTTAATGTGCCGAGAAGTACTGTGTCTCAGCTTAAGTTTGTGAATGCCCCTAGGTTAAGTGAAACGTAATATGATCAGTGGAGAAACAAGAATATTAAAGAAAATATAAGATCATTCGCCTGAGGCTAGTTCTGGCCGTACAGCTGCCTAGTGCTTGACGGAATGCTTCCAGTGTGTCTAGAAATCCAGCGGAACAATCGGAAAGCCATAAATGGATTCAGCTTAGGGACAAGTTGGTCAGAATCTCAAGCACTTTACCTTGATCCACCTCCTTGAAGGTTATCAGAGAATGACTAAACGTACATCATATTGACATTATATCATCAACATCATAATAATGTGGATCTAAGCTCGATCATGTAAGCGATACACCAAATATGCAATATAACGTTGGGCATTTACGTCATACGTACGATACAGTATACAGCGATACAATACAACAATACGATATAACACATAACACTGTGCGCACCTGTACCTCACGCAGTGAGTGAATTTTGGATGACCCTCGATTTGGGCGCTTTGCATTATTTGTATTTGACCAGCCCTACAGTCTTACTCGTTCCCTTTCACTTCTATCCTCACATGAGCTGGAAACTTGAAATACAGCTAATCACACAACTGTTCAGTAGTCAGTCAGCCGGAAATTATTTAGCTAAGTGGTCATTTCTTCAAGACTGGTCGGTCGCTCCCTCGTTTTGAGATGACCAGCTTACAAAGTCCAAGCAGAGGATCCCAGATAAGTGTAATTTCTACTTTCCAGTAAGAATGGCAGACTGCATATGGAGGAGGCATTTCGCATCTGATCCTTAACATTAGTTATTCTTGTTTCGAAGCCGTGCGTCTTGGTTCAAATTTGGTACCACTGAACTCATCGAAGTTTTCGCACACCTTTCCATGTCTAACTTTGAGGCAATATCTTGTACGACCTTCGAGTGAATGTACATCTGGAAACTCAGCGCGCTTTAGTCTGACAAAAAACAAACCTCTTGTTATGAGCTCCTTCAGTCAAACGTTCTGAGTTCGAGTTTACATAAAATAATAGCAATATTTCCGAAGTACACTCGTGTACAAGCTAAGTGGATAGGAAAGAGAGACCAAAGTGGATCCCAGCAGAATCTGTCGAAAACTTGCACTGTGATATCTCTAACATCGCATCAAGTAAAATGTGTGACGGCCTTTGTGCAGCACATTCAGTTGAAGAATACCTGAAACCACAGATCCGACCGAAACTCAGCTGTGCCTCCCGTTAAAACCAAACCAGTTTATTGTTGAATGTACCTAACGAAGTGCGTACAAGTTTGGTGCAATTAGAACTTGGAGTTGATGGAAACTTTGGGACTGTGCCTAATTGATGAACCCCGGGAACGGTGAAACCGGTCGTTGACCGTCCAAGAGTGTTTAGCAGCCTCCTGGACTTCACTGATTCTTTCCGATCATCATAGTAAGTTGTTCGTTTGTTGGTTTGCTGTCTGAGCTTGGTAGTTAGATTGCAAGCCTTTCATCGTCACTCTAGTTGACATCGTCAATGCGTAGTTGGATGGTAATTTCATTACTAATCGAAAAATGAACTTCGATCCGTCCTAACTAGAATTCACTAAAACTACTGGGTACAAGCAACCATAAACGAAGAAGTTACGGCCAGGTCATTCCGAAAAAACTGGTTAAAAGTAAGCTGTTTTCCTGATGTACCATATTTCTATTTGTACAAACATCGTAAGTCATCTCCTTCGGTGCTGTTTTGTTGATGTCACCAGGTGGTCCGGCTGAAATTTAACACCGATTCAATGTTTGGCCTTCAGTGAGCTACACAGTGGCAAGGGTTGGCAACTACACAGCGAACTTAGCATGAGAGTTTCACAGACAGCAGCAGGAACGTGTGCGCGTGTTTGCGATCGGACAAAAACGTGATTACACCCGGTGTACCCGAGAAGCGAAACACGTACTCGCGCGTCCTCAACACGGAACATGGAATTTCGAATCTGATGTTACGTTGGATCAAACAGAACTGTAGTTTGAACATACTGGTCCATGTACTCATAGATGCAAATAAAAGTGCGCGCGTAATAGGTCAAGCGAATCAATTGAATACTGTTTACGGTAGATAAATTTGACTACACACTGCACTGATTTCGTTCACTTGCGTTCACTTACACAATACATGAGAAAAATAAGTGTTCTGGAAGCCACCGTTTAACGCTGAGTTCAAGTGATAAGGTTTTTCTTCTACACTGAGCATACACAAACGCATGTAGACTCTGGCGTTGACAGAAATTAATGAAAGCTCGGTGGGAATGGCTGGTATCCGAAAGATTTGCCAATGAACAGTGGTTAAACTACTGGATGCCTGCGATTAGTCAGAAGTCACTGACGATTTGCCTTCAGCCGAATGTGGCGCTACGAAGAAGCCTTTGGGGCCTATCTAAACCCGACAGAATGAGGTCGACGGACAGACGCACAGAAGCTCATCAAAACCAACAGTCAACCTAAAAGTGTTAACAATCAGCCCAGTATGGCATCCTCCCGATGAAGGTTATATGACACACCAATTTAGGCTTGAACACACCAGTCAATCAGTGCAAAACTGCTGAGAAACGATTACAAATGGCCTTTCAAGACAGGCTATCTCGAAAGCATCTTTGCGGACTGTGTTGATCAGTTACACCTGATCGGCTAGTGTCCAGCTTATGGCATAAAACCCGAAGACAGACCATTAGGATATCCTAGCTTAACAACAATTCTTTCGATTTGCACAGACTCCTGTGAATTCTAGCAGAAAACTATACAAAACAGATAGCTCACCACAAAACGTGCAGCACAAGGAACAAGTTGGTCATCTATGACCTACAACCGACGGTCGCGTATGTTTAGACTTCGCGGTCGTTTCAATATTATTCAAGGGTGCTTCCAGGGAACGAAATGGTGAAAAATGTAGAAGCAAACCATTAGCCTCATCTTCAATTCTCTCGCATCAACAGCTTTCAGGGAGAGCGAATAACCATGCACCCCAGACCCGCAGAGAAGCTTTTGACTACTTTAGAGCAACCAATCGCTGAGAGTCCGACTCTTGCGCGCATAGCAACCCTGTCCTCGTAAATATAGGTCCCACCCGAGGTAGAGCATGCACGGATCAGTCAATCTACATTCTTTCAAACATAAAGTAAACCCTGTTTCTATAAAACAGTCGGACGCTCTCAAGATCACTGAGCTGTCGGAATACAACAAAATGGATCTCACTTGTGCACTCATAAAAAAATTATAACCATTTCAAGAATTTTATCGCAACTGCGTAAGCTATCTTCCTCGGGTTATAGGCATTAACCCATTGCGTTTCCATCTCACCGTTCACCCAGACCAGCGGGAATTGACGTTCGAAAGGGTTAAAAGTAGAGTTTTCTATTTTAGTCCTCAAGGAGGACTCTTAAACTGGCGAAACTAGCTATCACCTTAGAAGACGGCTGATGAATGCACCGGGTGGTCACACACATGAGACAGTGGACCAGCATTTCGGTTATTCACCTTTGAACTGGGCATCTTCAAATTATCTGCCACCTTGTCCTACTAATCATTACACGTGCTTCGGGATTAGATCGTAGACGACTCTCTAAAAGGACTTTAATAGACGTGCCCCTTCCAGACGGTGAAATCGATATAGTGATACACTAAAATTCGATGTATATGAAGGGGGGATTATCTACTCTATCTCATAGTGATTCGCGTATTCTGACGCACCATGTATTCAGTCAATCAGTAAAATGTTAGCATTTTTGCATTCGATTTTCAGCATTTTAATTTGTACACTGAGTTTCGTGTAAATGCAGAAAATGACTGTAGGTTTGGTCGCTGAAGCAATAATAGTGGTGTTTCCACAACGGATGCAGCCAACTAGGATGTCGGTCACTTCAGTGGTAAAGAAACTCGTTAGAAAAAACTATTTCGGTTCTATCACTTTAATAGACTTATTACGAGATTAGAGGCTAATCTGTTTCCGCGAGTTTCATGGCAGTCTAGCTAAAATTTGGCTACAAAGCCTTGATTCAACCCTAGCATACTGTACAACTGTCTACATCCGAATCCGTTTCCGACTGATCTGGGGACACATTTCTACAACAGATGGTCTGCTTCGATCACAACGGTACGGGAAAGGCTTGCGTGTTTACTTGCAAGCACGACACGAACCTGTCATCTACCAACAAGAGAACTTCTTCCACCTTCTTAGATGTCACTAGCCTTCGAACAGGGGCCAGTTAGGCAGATTCTACTGGGTGCACGTGATTTCCACTTTTTTGGTGGGATTAAAATAAACGTAAAGAGTTGGCGACAACAAACAGACTTGACTAATATTCTTCACATAAGGCGATAATTTTTCCAAAGGTCTCATTCGCTGGCTTAGAAGTTACTTACTGGACGATCCAAACTTCATATGCACAGTCTCGCTATTTCCCTAGAGGGTAATGAATGCGTTCATTTGAAGAAATGTTGGCGGGATTATATGCAAGAAGAATGAGGACTAGTGACCAAATTATGAATGTCTATCTATGCGAATGCAGAACTCAGTGATGAAATTATCACCCGGCAACCATTACCTTGAGACTCCGTGAGAGTCCAGCTCAGCAGTACAGTATTGAAAAATTACTAGCTACATCCTTGTGAATTGCTGACTGCATTCAATCAGCAGCTATACTACCTCAGAACACAGGTCGGGAAAGACAACACTGGCAAATTGTATTCCCGGCTGGCGGCCTAGTTTCGCTGTATCACCAAACCCTTGCTTCGCGTTACCCACTGACTTGTGGATACATTTTTTCCGAATTTATACCGCATGACGTCATTAATACCACACTCGTCAGCCTTACCAAGACTGTTCAGTCAATTAAACTGAGTGGTCCCATTCATGATAGAAGTTGTTAGCTTTTTCTGAATTCCATCTACAAGACTCAAACTACGTCCATTGTGCCTGATTAACAGTAAACAATAGCTGTCATGACACTTCACGACCTTCGCCTCCGTTTTAGTTCGGACTGGAAAATACACATGCGCCCATCGGCCGATCTTTCGTTTACATTGCGCCATCGATCCATCCGAGCATTCCATCTTGAGTTTGAGTAAGTGATGCTCTCCCTATGGTCGAAGGGGTTTTGCTCTTTCACTCACTTGTAACACCTAGGCAGGAAAGTTCATTCGCAAACTAGCACCATAATAATGGTAAAAACTTTTTATGACCTAAGTTCGTTACGAGTGGCGACGGTGAACAGTGGCCGTCACATTCCTGTCGAAAACAGCCATACTAACACGATTTCGTTAGCCACTTTGGAATGTATTTTCATTGAGGTAATTCATTGCTTTGTTCCAGACCGACGCAACTACGGTATCACCTTGATTGGTGTAGCAATCCAGTTGTCCATCTCAGCACATAAACCAAAGACCATTTCTGACGTCAGTTCCATCAGCCAGCCATGGAACTTACCATCTCCACAGCATGTGAAAGGGCACACACATTGGTAGAACTGGCTAAAGGCTAGGAAGGCACGCCAAAGAGTACATGTCCAAATTACTGAATATACTACTGGTTTACACAGATATGATTTGGAACGAGGCCACCGATCACCAGGCTCCTTGTCAAAGCAGAACAGTGTGTTAAACTTTTTCCTTTTTTCCGGATCTTGGCATGAAGTGGTCGTCCATGCAGACTGAAGTTCTCTGGAATGATGTCGATTAATCTTTTCTTGCCTTTACTGTGTGCTGCGGAGGGCATGGTAGTTACGCTGAGACTACCTTGGTGTCACTATGGATGCTTCATATTATAATTCCGCGCTGTAATCGTGCAACTGACCATCTCTTCTGCTTCACTTAGCTCGCTTTTAGCTTAGTGTGGCAAACAATATTGCAGGGAAATAACTCATTTTGCAAGAATGCTATTCAACCTGATCCACATTCTTCTGTGATTTTATATGTGGACAGATCGTTGTTTACTATGGATATTGTCATGACTATCTTTATCCTCACCGCGCCATTCGAATCTGAGTACTTTTACATGTAATTATTGATATTTTGAAAAAGGGGTTTAAAATGTGCGTCAGATAACCATACATGGATGGCTAGTTCACTTTAAAGCAAGAGACAGTCATTCATAGTTACCTGTGCAGAACTACTCTACTGAAAAGTGTAAACAGGACTTTCATATCGTGTAGATCACATACCAGTCTAATACAGCGGTGAGTGGTCTTGTTGTGAAATACTTTCTTAAGCAGCTCCCCTGCTGACGGGTCTTCCTTGTGAGGAAAAAGTACTGCAAGTCACTACGTACGGTCGAATAAAGGCCACATTAGTTTAGGAGCTGAAAGTCATTTTTGCAAGTAATAATACGTATAAATATGACAGTGAACACAACAGTGAAAACGACAATTGCCAGTCATCAGCATCCGGAATGAGAGGCGCTCATGCTTTTGGGATACTAAGTGATATGAAGTGCACCGTACAAACGCAGTGCTCTTGTGACCCCCCGCGGCCTCCCTTATACGTGAACGGCAACTCCGTGCAGCCCAACACGGTGCCAAACACACCATATCCAGAGATTCAGTTAAGTGACAGTTATTGTGATAAACCTGGATCAAAAGGGACAAACATAACTGGGTTCCAGGTGAGCCTCCCATCAAAACCAACTTGATATACAGATGAGTCTATAAGTCAGAGATGGGGTTTTCTTTTTCAGCCACATGTGCACGTGCCACAACAACAACAACAACCATCCATTTACTCACTTGCGTTTGTGTTAGTCCAAGCTGTGAGGCCAGACAAGCTCGCTCGGTCAGATTCAGATATTGCGACTGTACAA